GAAGTGGACAGTGCAAAAGTTATGACGCAAAAATTAGAATACAATAAGAATAAATACAGTACACAACTGTACAGAATAGAATAAAATAAAATACTATATACAGTAGAATAAAATAAAATAAATATACAATAAGATAAAAATAGAATACAAATACAAATACTATATACAACTGAGTAAAAATACAACGATGACAGAAAGGATTATTGCACTTAGTATTATTGCATATGTATGGATGTGTGTGCTTGATCAGTTAAAGTCTTTGTTGTGGAGTCTGACAGCAGTGGGGAGGAAAGACCTGCGAAATCTCTCCGTCCCACACCGTGGGTGCCGCAGTCTCCCACTGAAGGAGCTGCTCAGTGCTGTCACAGTCTGCTGCATGGGGTGGGAGATGTTGTCCATCAGGGATGACAGCTTAGCCGCCGTTCTCCTGTCACTCACCACCTCCACTGGGTCCAGAGGGCATCCTAGAACAGAGCTGGCCCTTCGGATCACCCTGTTCAGTCTCTTCCTGTCCCCAGCAGAGATGCTGCCGCCCCAGCAGACCACGCCATAAAAGATAGCAGAAGCCACCACAGAGTCATAGAATTTCTTCAGGAGTGGGCCCTCCACTCCAAACGACCTGAGTCTCCGCAGCAGGTACAGCCTGCTCTGCCCTTTCCTGTAGAGGGCGTCTGAGTTATGAGTCCAGTCCAGTCTGTTGTTCAGATGAACACCAAGCTACCTGTAGCTGTCCACAGCCTCAATGTCCATACCTTGGATGTTCAGTGGTTGCAGTGGAGAATGCTTGTGCCTGCGGAAGTCTACCACCAGTTCCTTGGTTTTACTGGCGTTGATCTGGAGGTAGTTCAGCTGGCACCAGTCCACAAAGTCTTGGGTCAGACCTCTGTACTCCTTGTCGTCCCCATCAGTGATGAGGCCGACTATTGCAGAGTCATCAGAGAACTTCTGCAGGAAGCACTGGGTGGAATTGTGGGAGAAGTCTGCAGTGTAGATGGTGAAGAGGAACGGAGCCAGAACCGTTCCCTGTGGGGCCCCCGTACTGCAGACGACCCTGTCCGACACACAGCCCTGAGTCCTCACATACTGTGGTCGGTCGGTGAGGTAGTCCAGGATCCAGGTAGTGAGGTGATGGTCCACTCCAGAGTTCTCCAGCTTGTCCTTTAGAACCGAGGGAAGAATGGTGTTGAAGGCACTGGAGAAATCAAAGAACATGATTCTCACAGTGCTTCCAGCGGTCTCCAGGTGAGCGAGGGAACGATGTAGGAGGTGAATGACGGCATCATCCGCTCCAATGCCAGGCTGGTAGGCAAACTGAAGTGGGTCCAGTGATGAGCTTATTAGGCGCCGAAGCTGAGCCAGGACCAACCGCTCCAGGGTCTTCATCAGGTGGGATGTCAGAGCCACCGGCCTGTAGCTGTTGAGGTCCTTGGGGCGTGAAGTCTTTGGCACTGGTACAACACAGGAGGTTTTCCAGAGCTGTGGGACTCTTCCCAACCTCAGGCTCAGGTTGAAGAGGTGCTCCATCACCCCACACAGTTGGTCCGCGCAGGACCTGACGACCCTCGAGCTGATGCCATCTGGACCCGCTGCCTTCTTGCCATTAATCCTCCTCAGTTCCCTCCTAACCTGGGTGGTTGAGAGAGACAGGCTGGAGCCTTGTGTTGAGTGTGTATTGGATGCTGTTGTTGGGGGTGGGGGGGAGTGAGCAGGGTGAATAGAGGAGGTGTGAAGTGTCTGAGGTGGAACAGCAGCAGCCGTTCTTCTCTGCGTGAGTAGCTTAATGTTGTTCGTGTGTAATTTACGTTGAGTAGGCTAACCACGTTATTACATTAATGCATGTAAGGTGAACTAGCAAACATCATCATAGCTACATGCGGCTGTCTTCTTGTTTGATGGCAGATACTCCCTTCACCCTGGCCAAAAAGGCTAAAATGACCAAAGAAAAAGTGGAAAACAGTTAAACATGAGAGGTTTTGGATAAAGTTTGTGTTTTTTCCATTGTTTAAGCACTGCTTCCAGCCAAGAGTGATACCATATTTGCCCTATAGCTGCAGAAAAGGCTAACATTGTTATCTTTTTACAAAAAACCAGCTGAACATGAGAGGTTTTTGGACCAATTTTGTGTTCTCCATTCTTTAAGCACCGGTTTGAGCACCGTTTGAGCACCGGCACCGTTTCAAAAGTACCGATTTGGCACCGGTATCGGATAAAACCTAAACGATACCCATCCCTAATCTTATCTATTTCTGATTTTATCTGTTTTGATTTTATATACTGTTTTGTTTGTTTGTTAATTAGTTTTTGTTTGCTTGTTTTAATCAATTTTAAATCATGCTTTTTATTTGTTTTTGTTTCTAATGTCTCTGTAAAGCACTTTGAATCACCTTGTTGTTGAATTGTGCTATACAAATAAACTTGCCTTGCCTAAAGTGTGATTTATGTGGCTGTCCTGAAATGATGATGATGATGATGAAGTGTCCTTTAGGTTTACTGGACAGTAACTGTTTCTCTCTTTGAATGTGTACATTTGATGTTATACGTCCTCTCAGTATTTCTAAAGCTGCGTCCACAGTTTGGCCTAATGACCTCAGAACAAATAAACTCTTGTTCACACACACACACACAGATTTTGCAAACAATGGCAGGTGATGTAATAACTGGAGGGACTGGGAAGGGCTGATGGCTGGCTGTTAAGCGGTGGCCCAATTTGAGCTTCGCATCCACACAGGAACCAGAGTCCTCCACAGAGCCACACTGTTCACTTCAATAGCAGTTGGAATAAAATACACTGTAGCACAGCGGTCCCCAACCTTTTTTGCTCCACGGACCGGTTTATGCCCGACAATATTTTCACGGACAGGCCTTTAAGGTGTCGCGGATAAATACAACAAAATAAAACCGGTACTGGTACCAAAAAAAGAAGATTTATTCATAACACACGTGAAAAGACCCAGGAAAACCGAGTTAACGATCAAAACGATAACAAAATAACGCTGAAAACCGATAAAACCCTGAAAACCAAACATTTCACACCTGAGCCTCAACTCTCGCGGCCCGGTACCAACCGACTCACGGACCGGCACCGGTCCGAGGCCCGGGGGTTGAGGACCGCTGCTGTAGCATATCAACTTTATTCAGAAAAAGAAAGTTAACTGCACAGAATCTCCTCTTATCTGCAGATGATGTGGTTCTGTTGGCTTCATCGGGTGGGGGCCTCCAACCCACACTGCAGCAGACCCCACCCTAGTGTGAAGACAAGAGTCTGAGGCCATGGTCCTCAGCTGGAGAAGGGCAAAGTGCCTACTTCAGCTCAGGCACAGATTTATAGCTGCTTTGAGATTATTATGTTATTCCCGATTGAATAAAAAAATCAGGTTGTAACCAAATATAAAACTAAGGTATGATTATCATCGCTTTTGTCCTTGTTTAATATTTATTCTATTTTTTTTATCTTTATTTTGAACATGTTGAAAAAGTACAACAAAATAGAATTAAAAGAGACAAATGAACAAAGCAAAACAAAAGGAAAACGAGCAAACACAACTATTTAAATCCAGGTTGAAGACTCACCTGTTCTCATGCTTTTTATTGTTTTTGTTTTTTAATGTCTCTGTGAAGCACTTTGAATCACCTTGTTGTTGAATTGTGCTATATGAATAAACCTGCCATGTACCAGTATTTCCTGTAATACTGTGTCCCATCCCACAGATACACCTTTACACTACACTGTACCCTATGAGGACATCCAGATCACACAAGCTGTGATCAACAAGCTGCAGAAGTGTACTTTTAAATCAATGAACAGTTTGTCTCTGTTCATGATCAGCTCTTTCTAGATGACTCCCTTTAAGTCAGTGTGTTGATGTTTATTTAGTCCATAGTGAAAACCTATTTCTGGTATTTCAGGTGGAGTCACAGAACTTTTGACTTACTTGTTAATCACACTTCAAAACATAGTGACTAAAAAAAGGAACAACAGATCAAAGTCAGAAAATGGCATTACAATGCATGAAACAAGTTTCTAGTTTTCACCTCCTAGGACCTGGCGTCCACAAATGTGGACATCACATTTTGGGTTGTCTAGACCAAAATACTACATTTGGCTCTACAAGGGCCTGATATCCACTTACGAGGACGTTATTCTGCTACTTCTCTATCAAAATTTAAAACGAATGTCCTCATATGTGGATGTCAGGCCCTTGTAGAGCAAAATCAGGTAAAAAGATAATTCTTTGTTTTTAATAATGGAGTGGATTTATATAGCGCTTTTCAAGGCACCCAAAGCGCTTTACAATGCCACTATTCATTCACTCTCACATTCACACACTGGTGGAGGCAGCTACAGTTGTAGCCACAGCTGCCCTGGGGCAGACTGACAGAGGCGAGGCTGCCATATCGCACCATCGGCCCCTCTGGCCAACACCAGTAGGTGGCAAGGTAAAGTGTCTTGCCCAAGAACACAATGACCAGGACAGAGAGCACAGGGATCGAACCGGCGACCTACTGGTTACAGATACGCTTCCCAACCCCCTGAGCCACGGTCACCCTCATTTATCATGTCCCAATCAGCCCAAATAGCAAAGAGAAAATAAAAATGCATGAAATGAAAGCGTTCGGATCTTAGGAGGTTAATGTTGATGGTGTGCAAGCTTCAGATCTGGGGATCCACACGTTTATCTACAATGTCACACCTGAACAGACACAGGTGATTATGAGAAGTGGTCAGTGGGAACAGTACAAAATCAGATATGCATTAAAAGTTTAATAACGATACTAAGGCGAAGAGTACGAATTATTCACCTGCGCCTAAGAACATCATGCCAAATAAGATTTTATTTCCTCACTTTGATTTTGTCTATGGCACAAAATCATAGCTTGTGTTGGCACAGTACAAATTCAGGCCCCTGTGAGGAACTTCCTACATATGTAGATAACGTGTCACTGACATGCAGTGACCATAACACAGCCATTTTAAAGTGGGTGAGCAGTAGAAGACTGACCTGTTATTGAAGTTGGTGCAGTAAGTGAGGTCCTTGCAGCCCAGCTGGCAGGGCTCTCTGACGTCAGCCAGGCAGTTGATGAGCTCTGTTTCCACTGGGTTGTACTCACAGAGCTGGTCAAAGTCTTGCCATGTCTGGCTGCCCCAGTTGGAGCTGATCTCCAGACACATGTCCCTGGAACACATTTATAATCAACCTGTAGTTCACCTCTGCTCGCTGTAAATGACACCCAAACACCGTCTTTCACTGATGTCAAGAACTAAAAGTGGCATACCTGCAGAGTGAGGTGTTGGCTTTGGAGCAGCAGTGCAGCTTGGCACAGTCCATCTTGGCAGGAAGGTTATCCTCTTCAGTTATGGAAGGAGTCTGGACACTGCTCAGAAAGCACTGCCACATAGGCTCCTGAGGGAGCGGCTGGGAGCCGCACTCTTTGATCAAACCCTCCATAATCTCATGCTCTGTGCTCATAGTGCGAAGGATTTGTCGGCAAGCCATCTGGCAGTGGGTAGCTGCCCTGTCGCAGCAGTACAGACCTGCATGTGAGACAACGTTACTGAGTTTATACATCGCCCACTGAAATTCCCACGCTCACTACATCAGTCACGAAACTGCACACACAGAGTTTCCACAGATATTTGTATGTCTGTTTAACGAAGTGAAACACTAAACATATATAGTCAAATGTGCAGGATGTCACTCTGTGTGTGAGGCTGGCTTTATGGAAGATGTTTAGTGCAGACGTCCCACAGTGGGTTGGTTAATACACTCATGTTAACTAACTAGTGACAGAACAACAGAACCAAAGACAAGAACCAGTCGTGGGGATCCCGTCTGCACCAGGCCTGGCTGCAGCACTGAGCTGCACAGCAGGGCTCCGTGGGGTAAACACATCCATGTGCTCGGTGTTCAGGACGGTCACGTGGTGCAACAAAAGGTTTATTCAACAAACCTTCAAGCAAGGGTGCGTAGACCTGGGATATAGAGTACGCTTGGGGAGTGTGATGGTGTGTACAGTGTCTATTTAACTGTCTCCACGTTGGGTGAGTGCTGAGTAATTGCATATGCAAAGCACACTGTGCACTGTCGATCTTACGTGCTGCACAATAATATTCAATATTTAGTATTTACTGTTATCTTCACATAGATCATCGCGATGATGTCGTTTATTATATAGCTGTCTTTTTTTGCTTGTTTTCTCTTTTTTCTTTCTCAACAGGTGATCCAGGTGATTCATAGATGTATTTTTTGTCGGTTTGTTTTGTTTGTTTTTGTTTTTTGCCCTTTATCCCCATCCTTCTGTTTTTCTTTCCCTCTTTCTTTCCCCCAGTCATGTCTGTCCCGTGCGTAGAAAGTGAAAATAAAATAAAGTAAACAATAAAAGGGGAATCAAATAGACCAATACGGCAAGGCCGGGATGGTCCATTTGGTAAGGTAAATCCGTTGGGCATCTTTGCCTTTAGACAATAATTCTGATGGCAAAGAGCCAAACAGGACAGGAGGGGGAAAAAACCTTTCATCTGAGTTTTTAAAGTTATGGATAAAGATCATTTTTGCCAACTTGCCGACTCTTCAGCATGAATTCATAACTGCTTTTACACTTGGAAATTATTAAAAACAAATGTTTCTGTATTACCTCTGGAGTGAATGGTAGCTCAGTCAGTGGTAAACATGGATGAGCTGTACTCAACTTCCTGTCTTAGTGATCGTTTTATATGCACCATATGACATCTGCAGAGTCTCATGGAGTTTGTTTCTAATCCAGCACTTTACTCTCTTCATAGCAAACACTGAGCTGCACTTCCTTTTGTTGTGTGTGAAGCAGATGGACTTACTGTCCACAGGGCTGTGTATGGGGTAGGACTTTGTGAAGTTGTTGACACAGTGAATCAGCTGAGCACTGTGAGTCTGACAGTAGTCTTTGACAGCGCTGATCTGGGACACGGTGGGGGTCGAGTCAGTCCTGAAGATGGCCTGGCAGTACTCTCTGCAGGTGGTGTGACGACCTGCATAGCTGCAGCATGTAGAGCCCACTGCAGGGACACACACACATGCACACACAGGTTAAACAGTAAGAACAGCTGGCTGAGGTTAGGAGTATCAAAGTATGCAGTGACTGTGCCAAGTGGGCCTGAGGTTTTCAAGCTCTGCCAAAATCCCAGTTGGTTACAGTCAGGGAAACAATACCATGACTTGCAAAGAAATGAAGAGTTTATCATTGTGATGGTGCTTTCTTTGTTATTTGTCACACTGTCTCAGATTCACAGATAAACTGGAACAGTGAGGACTCCATCCAGGACAATTCATCCAAGAGCACAGAAGCACAGAGAGAAACAAGAAATGCAGATCTTACTCGCCTCAGGTCAGAGTTCATTATTCAGCATTAAGGAAGGCGCGGGGCAAAACTGGCATCAAGGAGTTCCAAGGAAAAAGCCCCTGCTTACCAAAAAGTCCACACAGGCTCATCTCACATTTGACAAAAAACATTGTGACGAGCCCCAAAACCTTTGATAAAATCTTCTGTGTGTTGTAAAGTCCCGATCCATCGGCATGAAACTAACACAGCATTTCATAAACGCAAAGCACCAACAGACAAACATGGTGGGAGTGTAATGGTCTGGGGCTCTGCTTTGATGGAACCATATACCCTGAACCCACACCTGAAGCTCAAGCACCCTCAGGTTATGCAGCATGGTCCACCAACCAAGCAACCAAGCAAGCAACCAACCAAGCAACCAAGCAACCAAGCAACCAAGCAACCAACCAACCAACCAACCAACCAAGCAACCAACCAACCAACCAAGCAACCAACCAACCAACCAAGCAACCAAGCAACCAACCAGCCAACCAACCAAGCAAGCAACCAACCAACCAACCAACCAACCAAGCAACCAACCAACCAACCAACCAACCAACCAACCAACCAACCAACCAAACAAACAAACAAACAAACAAACAAACAGGTTTTGAAGAGGCTTAGTGACAGACTGGACTCAAACCCTACACAGCAAAATCTCCAGTGTTAAATTAATACTAGAGAGTGTCTGTATGTGTCCACTCCTCTGAGTGTTAAATATAACAGTGTTATATGTTTAAAAGTAACCTAGTCAGTTTTGAAGATTAACAATGGCTAACACTGAGCAGTGCTGATTTTCTAACACTGGAATATTTCTACCATTTTGAGTTATTTTCCAGTGTTAGAAAATCAGCACTTATATTTAACACTCAGAGGATTGGACACATACAGACACTCTCTAGTATTAATTTAACACTGGAGTTTTTGCTGTGTATCGCCACACTGTGGCATGCTCTTGGAAATCCTCCACTGTGACTGAATGAAAACAATTCCGCAAAGAAAAGCAGCCTTCAGAGCAACATGAACGACTCACTGCTGGTTATTACAAACGCTCGATTGCATTTCTCCTCATTAGGTTCAAGGAGCAGCCACTCTTTAACGGTGAAAGGAAGGTTTGTTTTCACAATAGACCATTGTTTAATGAGTGTTTTGCATTAACTTGGATTATCTTTGTCTAATATTAACATTTGTTTAACCCTGTGAAAAATGCAAGTGTGACAAATAAAACTAAGAATAAAACTGGCACTGTACAGCAAAAAACAAATACCACTCAAACTATTCTGTAAAGAATCACAACAAACAGATATAACAACAACAACAGCAACAACAACAACAACAACAACAACAACAACAACAACAACAACAATAATAATAATGATATATCCTCTAAACAAGAAGTTATGAGGTAGGCAAATTACAATGCTCTGCTATTTGTTTATTTATAGTACGTATGACAAACCAAGGATGGAGACAAAAACACTAAATGTGGCAGGAAGTGAGTGAATGACTTACTTTCATTTTTGGTGATGCAGCTGTAGAGCGAGTTCTAGAATGAGAACAAGAAGCTGTGGTGACTCTGCTCACACAGACCACACTACTGCAGCAGAAACATGTTACTGGATTCAAGTCTCTGAACCACTGAATGACCTTTGACCCTTGACTAAAAAAACCTATATTTGTGCTTTAGTGATTGATCACATTTCATTCAAACATTGGAACAGACGTGAGGAAACTGTGATTCTGACCAAGAAAACACTTGAAGGAATAATAATAACAACAACAGTGTGGAAACATTAGTAACTTCCATGTAAGCACATTTTCATCGACACATTGATACTCTTGTAAATCTGTAAAGGGAGCAGTCGAAGGAGGAAGAGACAGAAACAAGCACGAGGACATTTACAGTCTGACAGCTAGCTTCAATAAGCGATGTAAGCATAACAGCAACAATCCATCTGTGAGCGACACAGAAACACAGAGCTAAGAACTTCATCTGTCTGACAGTGTGCCACTGCAAAATAATCTCACCTCTCTGAAGCTGTTGGACTTACCTCTGTGGTTTTCTTGCATACTTTTGTTATATCATTTTTTGAAGATGCCTACATGGGGAAAAGAAATCAGATCAGTGTTGGGGACAGCAGCTCGCACCCCAGGATGGACTCACAGCATCTCACCTGTTTGCATTCCTTGCGACACTCGGTCGTGATGGCCAGTTCACAGCAGCCCAGCCCCACCCAGCCTTCTGATTTCCTCGATACTCCTGCAAGCAAATCATACACCAGAGAATCAGCTCTTTGCCACGTGGATTTCTTTCTATGGCTATTAACTATCACACTTTGTGACACTGATTTATTTACTGTTACTGTGAATTATGAAAACAGATTCACATTTACTTATTCTGAGATTTTCATATTCAAACGAGAGCAGCGATAACACCATGGAGGTGGTTTTATGGTGAAGCAGAGCGAGCGAGTTCACTGCCTGCAGTAAGCTCTGCTGTCACATGTCTGAAAACAAAGGTGTTCACTGTAGTCACTGTCTGTGCTTCTCATGCTGTATATTCTGATCTTTGCAGAGTGAACTTCACTATCTCCACGTGTCCGGGGTGGGTGGAAAGTCCTCTCCCCCATCTGTCCAGCCACCATCGTGCACGTGTACAGACACACCTGCAGGACCAGCTTAAGAGTAAATCCATGAATGTTGCTGGAAATCAGTGAACATCAATGATGGACGATGTCTCACTCTGAGAGGACTGGAGGAAGGTTTTTTTGATTCCTTCATCCATCCATCCTCTTCTGCTGATGTTTGTCAGGGTCATCGGTGAGCTGAAGCCTGTCCCAGCTAACATAGAGCGAGAGGCAGGGTGGAGGACACGTCTCCAGCCTGACGCAGGGCTAGCACCCAGAGACAGACAACCATTCACACTCACATTCACACCTATGGGCATGTAGAACCACCAGTGACTCTAACCCCACTAACTGCATGTCTTTGGACTGTGGGAGGAAGTCACCCAGAGACAACCCACACAAACACAGGGAGAGCATGCAAACTCCACACAGAAAGACCCCGGCCTGATTCGAACCCAACACGCTCTCGCTGTGAGGCAGCAGCGGTCTCGCCACTGTGCTGCATAGCCCGAAGTAGACACCGCCCTCAACAGTGTCACATCAGAAAACACCCAGAGGGACATTTTAGACACCTGTGATTCCACAACAACCAAATGTTTTCAGTTGGTGCTAAGCTGCCGACTGCTACAAAGCCATGCTGTTAAGAACATGACGTACACAACCTGACACTGCTATCATCTCTCATCAATGTTCCTCTATAAACAGTATGTACTGTACATTTACATGTGCTGTCCCCGTGTCTGCCCGGCCACGTGTGCTTCTGTTTACTTTCTCCTCTCACCTCCCCGCCAGGGCGGAGCTCATTGTGGGCTCCCGCCCTTGGCTCACATACCTTCTCTTTATCAGGCTGCAATTATGTGTTGGACATTTAAGGCCGGGACACAGACGGTCTCATTGCTGGATGATTGTGCGAGACACGTTAGTGAATCTCTAGCTCTGTGAATCTCCTGTGTGTTTTTGCCTCTGAGTAACCGGCGTTTCCCCGTGTATAGTTTTCCTGGACCCGTCATCTACGGAGAGCAAGTGTGAATGAGATTCCCTTCCCGGATTTTTCCCTTGGACCCTGCAATTGCCCCACTGTATCTGCACTTGGTGATTGTGTAAATAAATGTCATTCCCTGTATTGGACTCTGATCTGCGCTTGAGTGTGACATGTGCTGCACCAACAGATGCCGGTGCAACAGTTTGCAGACAGATTTTATTTTGGTTGGTGGTTAAATACAACAGCAGATCAGCATCAGGATGTCGTGGTTTCACCTGCTTACCTGGAAGTGTAGAATTGATGCACATCCAAAGTTCATTCTGTAAGACATAAAAATGGTTCATGTCAGAGGTTATTAACAAAAAACCTTAATAACAGCTTTTATAATTCAGGTAGCATAATTATCAGATATGTAGCTCTGTTTTTCTCACACACCGTGGGTTTGTTAAAAAAGCAATTTTGCAATTCCACTTCAATGTCTGGGAGAAGAAGCACGAACTTTGGTAACTTTATAATTCCATGTGAATATATTAGTCTGCAGGTCTTTTATGAAAGTAAATGGGTGAAATTAGCAGGTGATAAGAATAATGTTTCTGGCTTGTTCCACCAACCATAGAAGAGGGCGTTACACTTTGGCTGAAGAGAGAAGGAAGCTGGTTGGATGTAAGAAAATGTTGCTTTAACAAAAAACTGAACGAGTTATTATGTGGCCACTCTATAATATTCTTCATATTTATAATAGAGTGATTTGTATATATTAGTGCTATTTGTTAAATGTGTGAACTCTGTAACAGATTGGATTATTTAACTAGCTGAGTCTGTTGCTGTAGCCCACATCATTTCCTCAGGGATTAATAAAGTTTTGTGATTGTGTTAATGTTTCAAAGACACAATTAACCAATGATTTATTTTCAGAGACAGCTGTAAAGCAAACGTACAGATCAGCAGCTCTGATTGGCTGCTCTGCTGACCACATGTCTACTCGACTCCAGATGTGCAGCAAGCCCAGGTGTGACCCATGATGCAGCACACTGTGCACGGCTCCTTCGCTGGTTGTTGGATCAACAGTTTCAGTGAGCCGGTGCTCACACAGCAGTTATCTGCTGCACTATATTAGTTATGCAGAAATCCCATGACTTTACAAAATAACTGAATAAACTGAGCCAGTTCAGTTTTACACAGAACAGACTCTACATTCTTCATTTCAAACTGAAACAGACGAGTGTTGAAAATATGAATGTGAGGAAACTCCCACTGGAACCAGAGCCCTCTGCGTCCTCTGCGTCCTACAGCTGAGGGACGCAGACACATGTTGTCGAGCTGGTACAGGACAGTAAGACGTACACTTGTTGACATGTCAGCTGTGTTCTCTTCACAGCTTTCAGAAAGCACTTCTTCAAACTCACCGGGCTCAAAGTTTGGCTTTGAAAACTCGGGTTCTTTCACTTCCATAAGGTAACCAGCTTTCACTGCTGAGTAAAAAGAGACTGTTGTTTCCTCAAACCTACCAGCCCCTCATTTATCTTCTCTGTAGTCAGCTGTGCTTACCCGTTCTTGTACTGTTCACCAGGATCGTCTCACAGTGCTGATGAATATTTTATTCCTTGAGCACTGAAACGTGAACACACCAAACACACAGGTGGATAAACAGGAGCTGCTCTGCTCTTCTTGAACTACTCGACACTCTGTGTCCACTTTTCTCCTTTTTGATAACGTTTCCATGAACAGCAGCAGTCTTTTTTTATTTTTTCATTTTATTTTAAATTGTACAGCGAATACATTTTTGTCACTACAAGGGAACGCTGCCTCCTCCTGTGATCTGTTTTTACACTGAAGCTCTGTTTCACAGAGAGGAACAGCAGCAATTATCCATCACAGCTTGTTAATCAACCACAGACCCAGAGAGAGTTTCAGGTCTTTGGAAAGCACACAGGGAAGTTCATTATACAACAGCCAACAGTCACAAAGACTTAGAAAGGAGACTGAATATGAAAACAGGTCCACTGAAAGTATCCATGTTTCTCTTCTGGACATACGCAGTCATCGTTTTGTCACATGACTCACACTGGAGTGGATCTCACCTGGATGCACACACACGCACACAGACAACCCACCTTAGAAATGTCTCAGATAAGCACCTAGAGGAGCCTGGTCTGACAGACACATGGGCAATATACAGACAAACGTCCCCAAGGACACTTTTTTTGATCGTACTCTGATCTGTTTCTTCACCAATCAGTCTGACGTACACAGATACCAGCAGTAGCTCCTGCAGCTCTGGCATTATCAAAGGCATCAGTGCAGAATGACAGGAACTCTACCACACATCACCTGTCCCCTGGTATCCTTTGGGATGGTGTGAAAGCATACATGAGACGGTGAATAATCTAATTTAGTTGTGCAAAAGAAAAAAGAAGCAAAGCTAAGGACAGTAAGGTTACTAGAACAACATCAAAGATCATAATCTCCATAATCTATTCTGCACTCAGAGATTTCCACAGTTTATTAACTGACAGGGCAGAGGGCAGCTCTAGACTCAGTGGTCAGAGGGACGGCGAGAATGCCAGCTGGTCAAGCTGTTTGTTTGAGCCCAGCAATCACCTAACAGAGTTATTTTAATGAGTAACGATCCAGAGGATTCACACAGCAACACAAGGATAAGGGTAGGTTAACATGTGTATGAGATGATGAGGACAGCGTTGGGCGTTAGCTGAAACCTCTCAGGGAGACCAAGACGAGGAAAGTCAAATTACATGTGAAACACCATCAAACTGAACCTGCCTCCCAGTGTCACAACATGTCAGTGAAATCACCACACATATGGTGACGATACTGAAATACTACTATTTTTCACAGATGCATCTATGGTATGAGTTTCAAAGTCCTTCATCATCTTGTTCTTGAGTCGCATTAACCTGGCTGTCCACGCTGCCCCGCCCACCAGCCCTCCCAGCTGTTTACAGCTCAGGAGTACGGACCCCCTCACAAAGTCTGCAAATCCATTTTGTTTTTAGCAAACAGATCCAGCAGAAGAAACTTTTGTAGCAACAGCGTCGGTTGCAGAGCATAAAAATAAACCTTTGCCAGTGAGTAGTTCATGGTTTGTTTTAGTCCTCAAAGTTTTATTCCTTCGCAAGTTGTCGAAATACAAGAATGCTAGAGAACATGGGCACATGGGGACAGTCTACATCAGAGCCTGTTGTTACTGGAGCCTGTTTGCATTATAATGACCTGCGTAGGCCTAAATTTAACGTACATGTGTACTAGTTGTTTGTTTTTCTTACTGTAATTAACAACAGCTCCTTGTGTTGCAGCTGAACATCATCTATTTGTTTGAGCTAAATTGCACAGCTGTTGGTAGAAAAATGAACTGAAAACAATGCAAATGTTGTAAATCAGGGGTGCCCAATCCCGGTCCTCGAGAGCTACCGTCCTGCAGCTTTTAGATGCATCCTTGTTCCCACACACCCGAATCAAATGAATGGCTTGTTATCAGGCCTTTGCCAAACACGATGGCATGCTGAAGAGGTAATCAAACCATTTGATTCAGCTGTGTTGGAGTAGGGATGCATCTAAAAGCTGCAGGATAGTAGCTCTCGAGGACTGGGACTGGGCAGCCCTGTTGTAAATGATCCAAAAAACTAACCACACCGATCAGTACTATTTGGGGACTGGGCTCATGTGCAGTAGCTCTGGCCCTAGATCTTCTAAGTACGCTCCTGCATCCTGTAAATTCTGTTGTACTGGCTTCTCATTAACTTCAGGGCCAACTGTACCTGAGCGAACCCTGCCCTCACACTCCAACATGCATCCACACAAACTCATGTCCACGTGTCAGTTATATTGCAGAGATGCTGATATGAGTCTTCTGCAGAAATTGTGCATATTAGAGCCAAAATATATACGAGTTACTCTGTGAGGCTAATAAACATTTTTATTCACAACATTTTCTAAGTGTTATATATTCAAACCTTATGACACAACACAATACAATCATGAGACAAGGCTTCCAATAGAAGCCATCTTGTTGGTTAGTGTACGTGTAGCTGCTGTATGTGAAATGGACTCACCATAGACTCTGGACAGTAACCAGGTAACCTCTGCAGGAGATGCTTCAGACGTGACTCACTCTTTATAGTGGTGAGCTGCAGGAAAAAGCAAAAATCATGACTTTATACAACACAATCTACACCGTAAATCTGGATCAGCTGGACCAGGTGACCCTGAATCCTCCCTTAGTGATGCTGCAATAGGTGTAGGCTGCTGGGGATTCCCATGATGCACTGGGTGTTTCTTCTTCACTCACTATGTGTTAACAGACCTCTCTGCATTGAATCATATCTGTTATTAACCTCTGTCTCTCTTCCACAGCATGTCTTTATCCTGTCTTCCTTCTCTCACCCCAACCAATCACAGCAGATGGCCCCGCCCCTCCTGAGCCTGGTTCTGCTGGAGGTTTCTTCCTGTTAAAAGGGAGTTTTTCCTTCCCACTGTCGCCAAAGTGCTGCTCATAGGGGGTCATATGATTGTTGGGTTTTGCTCTGTATGTATTATTGTAGGGTCGACCTTACAATACAAAGCACATTGAGGAGACTGTTGTTGTGTTTTGGTGCTGTATAAATAAAATTGAATCAAAGCTGGTACATGGTTTGTTCTGCCTCAAACCAGTCTGGGTGGGACGAGGCTCACCACTAGGTGATGTCAGCAGAGCGTCTCTGTCAGAGCAGTGCTTGGTTTTTTGGAGATACTGTGACTGAAAGTCAATAGTTAAATTTATATTTTCTGAAATCTTTGAATGTAAAAAAGTTTTACTTAAAAACAAAAACTAATACTAACCCTTCCAAAGACTACTTCCCCTTTTTGTGCATCTTACAACACTTGATTTTCAGCATTTTCTGAGCTTTTTCTTTACTGGTTTTCAACTTTCACTTGCTGGTCAATAAGATCACAGTAAGGTCTACTCGGCATCTCTCTTGAAACCATCACCCCTTCTCACCCCTCACCCACAATTTCCCAAGCACCTCCTTAAAGTGCAGCAATAAAACTGTAACACTCAGCTGCTTTTTGCTCTGATGCAAAAGCCTCTCTCACATTTCCTTTAGTCCTCTTTCACTGACATGAGGATGGAGAGCGAGCGTCACCTTCTGTCAGTTAAAAAAAGTTGAGACTGAAGTTGATAGCTTCAAAGACAATCTGATTTGATGTGAGTAAGGCTTGTTGTGGGATCAACATGGTGTTCCACTGGTAGTGCGTTAGATGACCTTAGGGAGCAAATGAAAGCCCGTCTAACTGCAGAGAGCATCTCTTGCCAAATGGAGGCAGTGTCCAAAGTGTGTGGTCCAACTGGTGCTGTCTGGGAGGGGCATGATAATCCTTTACCTGGTCTGGGTCATTCGTAAGCCAATCAGCATTTGACCTACGCCCAGCTGAGCTACATGCTGTTGGGGTTTTGGAGGACTGCAGGTAGCACATTTACTTGGTTGAAAACCTCTCATTGGAGGCTCTCTGAGGGCAAATACATAAATGGACACAGCCATGAAACAAGCATCTATGTGTTTGTGAATGTGTATGTTCATACCTGGCCACAAGCTTCTCTGCAAGGTGAGAATTCGGCAGCATGGTGGCAACAGGAGGGATCTGCAGACAGAAGCATCAAGTTAGAGTCAGTTAGAGCATCGCCATCAGTGTTTGGTTCACCCAGAGCTACGGCTCTCACATGATGTCAAATCACACTGCTGTGGCTGGAGGCAAATCCAGGGATTTGATGGCATTATTTTTCCAACTGTACTGGGGTAATGCCAGTTGAGCCAAGTTAGTCAGCATAGTTACTGGATGTCAGGATTTATGAGAGTGTGATATATTAAAGCCCTCGAATGACACTGAGCAGCTTAATAACAGGGAGAACAGATGATTACACAAACCACCAACCTAAGAAGATAAACTGACAGCACTTGTGAGAGTTACCTGCCTGATAGCTTGAACTGGGATGCCAACAGCACCTAGCCCCAGTGAGGTCTTTGTCAGTACAGTTTGCTTAATGCTACGATGGTACCAAGCAAGTTAAAGAAGCACGTGGACTGTTAAAACAATCAAACGCAAAAGCAAAGAGAACAAACTCAAAAAAACAAAACTGACCTACTTTGACAAAGAGTCCTGAATGTGAACAAAGGGAAGCTCTACTATTTGTTGGATTACATGAAAGTGGTTGACAGCGGTCTATGTTAGTACAATAGATTCAACTGGATCCACATGAGACGATGACGTCTTCTGACACGTCCTTTCCAATCTCAGAGTGACTTTGTTGCACTAACCTTCATGCTATGCAAATACATTAAACTGGTTGGTTGAGATGAAGCAGACGCCACTATGCACTGATGTGAGTATTTAAGTGTGCTTCGGAACTTTTGCTTGGAACTGGTTTCCAGTTGCATCCAACCCTTACATCGCTAAGCCCATCAACGCATCAGGTTCAGTGGAATAAAGCGCGTGGCCACTGTGCTCTCGAGAATAACAGAGTGACCGATCACCCTTTCCCATCTGACGTATGAGTCTGGGTTTGGCAGTTGCTAGGAGGACAGTAATTTATGTTTCAGTATCTTGTCCAAAAATACTTTTGCCTGAAAGAGTTGGGATTACATGAGTTAGTGCAGTGTGTTTGTGCAGGTGCTCAGTTCAGATGAGATCTGACGTACATGAAGGCCACAGCATATTATTCAAATCATTTCATTTCTTTTACAGACTTCAAAGTGCAAAAATGACACTAAAAGTGAGAAAATTATTTCCAGTGCTGTGTAAAAACAAACCCATCTTGTCTACACACATGGCTGAAAGCTTTCATGTGTATCACTCAGCTAAATACTAGAATAAGTACTTGCCTCACAGCTGAACTATAGTAACCGGGGGGTACTGACACTGCATTCATCACAGCCTGTGTGTGACGCTACACACTGCATGTGTTTAAAACACGATGAGAAGTACATTCTGTTGTATCCATGGCCTTGTTTGGTCTTTCAATCCGCGTACACCCCTGCACCAGCCAGTAGCTTCCTTTTGTTGCGCCCTCCTTAATGACCACTGTTGGCAGGCATGATGAGATGTGAAAGAAAGTGAGTGTGCTGACAGACGTGAAACAAATGATCTGTAGCTTTGTGTGTGCGGGTCTTTTACACTTGTGTCTAAAGAGGAGCTGTGCTGTGAGTGTGTGATGTGGAGAGCCTGCTGAGTAAAGTTCAAACCTGCGCTGTAGCCTAAAAATTGCAACCTTCATGGTAAAGTGATCTCCAAGGGCCTGAGCATTTCAGAGGTTACTGTGTCTGATGTGGGCCTGTCTGATCATTACTGTGTTTTCTTTGAAAGTAAAATCTCAGCCAACACAAATATATCAACAACAGTGATCACAAAACGGTGTATAACTGAAGACAGTAGTGCAATTTTTAACCAGGTCTTCCCATTAACACCTGACCTGTCCAGAGGGTCAGTCAATGAGCTCGTCAATAGCTTCAATGCTAACATGTTAAATGTAATGGACACCATTGCTCCCATTAAGGTGAAGGTTATCTCTGGAAGGAAAAAGTCTCCATGGAGAAACTCCACACTGGTGAAAAATGAAAAAAGAGAGTGTAGGAAAGCTGAGCGCAGATGGAGAAAAACAAACCTCCAGGTTCATTATGACATCTATAAAGAGAAACTTCACAATTATAATTTACAACTGAGGAATGCAAGGAGGTCCTACTTCTCTGACATCATCACTAAAAACAGCCATAATGCTCGGGTCTTATTTTCTACAGTTGACAGGCTAACAAACCCTCCTGTGTCAGTGGCAGCTGAACTTCATTCAACCATGGCCTGCAATGACTTTGCCAAATTCTTCACTGAAAAAATCCAAAAAATTAGACAAGCACTTGGTACATCAACAGCAGATCCAGGATATGTACTGTGTCCACCGAAAAACTGTTTAACCACCATCAAACAGTTTCAACCTATTAACAGCAAAGACCTGGAGGACATCTTAGGTCAACTGAACTCCTCCTCTTGCTGTTTAGATGTCCTGGCAACAAGTTTTTTCAAAAAGGTCTCAAAGACTTTAGAGTCAGACCTGTTACAGATCGTCAACTTTTCTTTATTATCAGGTGTGTTTCCAGAATCACTAAAAACTGCTGTAATAAAACCTATACTGAAAAAGGACAATCTTGACAAGACACAAATGAACAACTACAGGCCGATCTCAAATCTCCCATTTTTAAGTAAGATCATTGAAAAAGCAGTTTCTCAACAGCTCAGTTACTTCTTAAACAGAATAAGTGCTATGATGCCTTCCAGTCAGGTTTTAGACAGAACCACAGCACTGAAACCGCTCTGACCAAAGTGTTTAATGACATATGTCTGAATACAGACAGTGGAAAAATGTCAGTCCTAGTTTTACTGGATCTCAGTGCAGCATTTGATACAGTTGACCACAACATATTACTCAAACGACTGGAGAACTGGACAGGTCTTTCAGGAACTGTACTAAACTGGTTCAAAACATACTTAGAAAACAGGAAATACTTTGTATCAATAGGTAACTTCACATCTGAGCAGACAAGTATCACATGTGGAGTTCCCCAAGGTTCCATCTTGGGACCCCTTCTGTTTAACATCTACATGCTCCCACTGGCACAGATTATAAAGAACAACAAAATAAACTACCACAGCTATACAGATGACACACAAATATATATCACAATGTCACCAGGAGACCGAGGCCCTGTACAGGCTCTTGGTAAATGCATTGAGGAAATCAATGACTGGTTGTGCCACAATTTTCTCCAGCTAAACAAAAACAAAACTGAGGTAATAGTCTTTGGCGCCAAAGAAAAACGATTACAGGTCACCAGAGAACTTCAATCTATACATCTAAAAACCACAAACCAGGCGAGAAATTTGGGTGTAGTGATGGATGCAGACCTAAACTTAGAAAAACACATTAAGACAATAACAAAGTCAGCTTACTATCACCTCAAGAATATTTCAAGGATAAAAGATCTGATGTCCCAACAGGACCTGGAAAAACTAGTCCATGCATTCATCTTTAGTAGGCTTGATTACTGTAACAGCATCTTTACAAGTCTACCTAAAAAATCAGTCAGACAACTACAGCTCATTCAGAACTCTGCTGCTCGAGTCCTCACTAAGACCAAAAAAGTGGACCACATCAGTCCAGCTCTGAGGTCTTTACACTGGCTGCCTGTCCGTCAGAGGATAGACTTTAAAGTTCTGATGCTGGCCTATAAAGCTCTGAATGGTTTAGGACCAAAATACATCAGTGACCTCCTGACCCAGTATGAACCTTCCAGATCCCTCAGGTCATCTGGATCCGGTCTTTTATCAGTTCCCAGAGTCAGAACCAGACACGGAGAAGCTGCATTCAGCTTTTATGCTCCTTATATCTGGAACAAACTCCCAGAAAGCCTCAGATCAGCTGAAACACTCAGTTTATTTAAATCCAGGTTGAAGACTCACCTGTTCTCAGCTGCATTTGAATAAAGCACCAAATCCACACTTTAAGCTTAAATTTCAAAACTTACACTAACTACTGATTTTATCTACTGTTCTGATTTTATCTGTTTTGATTTTATATACTGTTTTGTTTGTTTGTTAATTAGTTTTTGTTTGCTTGTTTTAATCAATTTTAAATCATGCTTTTTATTTGTTTTTGTTTCTAATGTCTCTGTAAAGCACTTTGAATCACCTTGTTGTTGAATTGTGCTATACAAATAAACTTGCCTTGCCTAAAGTGTGATTTATGTGGCTGTCCTGAAATGATGATGATGATGATGAAGTGTCCTTTAGGTTTACTGGACAGTAACTGTTTCTCTCTTTGAATGTGTACATTTGATGTTATACGTCCTCTCAGTATTTCTAAAGCTGCGTCCACAGTTTGGCCTAATGACCTCAGAACAAATAAACTCTTGTTCACACACACACACAGATTTTGCAAACAATGGCAGGTGATGTAATAACTGGAGGGACTGGGAAGGGCTGATGGCTGGCTGTTAAGCGGTGGCCCAATTTGAGCTTCGCATCCACACAGGAACCAGAGTCCTCCACAGAGCCACACTGTTCACTTCAATAGCAGTTGGAATAAAATACACTGTAGCACAGCGGTCCCCAACCTTTTTTGCTCCACGGACGGTTTATGCCCGACAATATTTTCACGGACCGGCCTTTAAGGTGTCGCGGATAAATACAACAAAATAAAACCGGTACTGGTACCAAAAAAAGAAGATTTATTCATAACACACGTGAAAAGACCCAGGAAAACCGAGTTAACGATCAAAACGATAACAAAATAACGCTGAAAACCGATAAAACCCTGAAAACCAAACATTTCACACCTGAGCCTCAACTCTCGCGGCCCGGTACCAACCGACTCACGGACCGGTACCGGTCCGAGGCCCGGGGGTTGAGGACCGCTGCTGTAGCATATCAACTTCATTCAGAAAAAGAAAGTTAACTGCACAGAATCTCCTCTTATCTGCAGATGATGTGGTTCTGTTGGCTTCATCGGGTGGGGGCCTCCAACCCACACTGCAGCAGACCCCACCCTAGTGTGAAGACAAGAGTCTGAGGCCATGGTCCTCAGCTGGAGAAGGGCA